CCAATTTCATTTTGCATCATGCAGAAAATACTGAGAGGAAGTGGATATTTAAATGGGACATACCTGAGAACATCATTAGGTGTTTTGAGCCACCGCTGAGCATTAAAAGTTTCCTCTGGGTCTCTCTCGCTCACACATTAACATACACAAAGCCTTTAATTAAACAGCAGCATAACAGAGAATGCTCACACACACAACCATTAATGATGGCAAAGAAGGGTAGTGCTTAGTCAACATGAATGTTAATTAAATCTCTAATGACCCCAAACTAACGAGGACTTCACCAACACAATCACTATTTTATAGGGTGACAACAAACATGATGGGATCTACCAGGGTAGCATCTCTATTTTGCCTATCTAACCGGGTGTGTGTGTACTGAAGATAAATGAACGTAGGTGTAAAGTGGCATCTCCGCAGGCAATGTCCTCAGGGACTTTGTAATCTCACTTGGCACCAATAACCCTGTATCTGAGGAAATTTTAGTGTGTGTGAAAGTGGGTGTGTGTAGAAAGGAGTGGCTTTGTAAGATGATCAAAGAGCCTTGTTTCAAACGGCCACACACACACACACACACCCACGTGCATGTAGAAAACGCTACGTTTTTCATTGTCAGCTACGGATCACGTTTCACTGCACGCCGCTGACGTGGCCGGTCTCCGTTGACACCGATGCTGTTTTTGCCTGACCTCTGCAGCCTGTGTTCCATAACTTTTACACCTCGACCTCTACGCTTCAGATTTAGTTTGCACCAATCACTTGTACAGCTCTTAAACTCTGACCTCTCACGCTTTTTACAGAAATGACAATCTCGTTGCTGTGCACAGCAAAAAAGTGACAAGAGGTCACCTGTTAAGCTTCGAACAGAATAGCCTTAATGGTTGCAGCGAAGAGAAAAGACTCGCAGAACGATTTTTCTCAGAATGTCACATTTCTATTCAGTGTTGTGTCCATTGTATGGAAAAATAAACACCCACTTTTTTCTCCATAATAGCTTATTTTGTGTTCCACAGAAAAAAAAACCCCCGTCTCTTTAATGCTTCACTCCTCAAATTTGGATGCATCAGGAAACATTGTCATAAATCATTTGAAAAGCCCTTTACTGCACTGTAGGGAATATGACCCTCACTCTCTAGAGAAAAAATATATGAACACATCCTTTTTTCTCTCTCGGTAATTACACAGATGCAAGGGCGTAGTTGAACACAGCTGGACAGAAGTATGGGCGTGTCCTATCCATCTGCCATTTGCATACAGTGTCCCTAGACCCAATCGAGTGCAACAGTCGGGTTCTGGAAGTAAAAACTCCATTCGATCTCTCCACAGGGAAATTGTTTTTGAATGACAACTTATTAACCTTTAAAGAAAGACCTACTGTGAGCTACTTGGTAGTTAATTGGTACTTGGTAATTGCTTCTGCTAAAGCTGTCAGCCTGCATTATTTCAGCTTATTTTTAAAATAATTGTGTTTAAAGGTGCAGTATGTAATATTGACAGCAAGCGGTTGAAATGGTTACATTTAATTCCCCCGCCTCCTCAAACTCGATGCTTACGTGGGTCGCCAGATTGAGGACACGCAACCAGAGTGAGCGCAATTGACAATGGAAGGCTAGGAGACTTAACACACTAGTAAGTTGATGAGTTGATTTATCATCAGGGTTTTAATATGCTCCCATTCATAGAGATTTTTAGATGGATGCTGAGGCTTTTTTGGTTGGGTACAATCTGTGATCTCTGACTTGGTTTGTTTGCTGGCTTCCATGGCTGCAGTACACTGCGTTTTTTCTGCCAAATGGCAACCAGGGGTGTTGAAACATTATTGGGTAAATTGGCAGTGGGCGGAACCACACAGTCCAAAACAAAAACAGACATTAGGAGACGAAACGCACATTTCAAAGTAAAATAACTGTAGCATTGTTTTTGAGAGAAATGAGTATGTGAAAAACTTAGCATGTTTCCTAAATATCTGAAACGTATTATGGTATTTTTATGCTTTAGTACAGTCAAAAAAAACGTACATACAGCACCTTTAACAGCGTAATTCCTTGCGAAAAACACAAGGAATGTACAGAAAAGTACACCAATCAGAGAGTCAAAAAAAGCAACGCGCGGCAAAAGATCTCGTTAGCTCCGCCCACTCCCATGAAGCAATGCGAATGGCATAATCGATTCGATCTCTCTACGCTCTTAAAATACTTAAATGTGTGTATATATGCATTTTTTGCAATAAACTTAAAATACTTTGTTTTTATATAAACAATCAACATTTGTCAAATAAACTTTTTTATATTTCTCCACTGTTTAATTCGATTATGCTCTTCGCAATGCTTCATGGAATTGTAGTTCTTTCCCTCAGTAAATCCATTTAGTACACAGTGTTTTCCCTTTGTCTTTTTGTCCGATTTTCAAAAACGTTTTTGATTCAAATCAAAGGTTTGTACTGTTGTGATTCACCTCGTAGATGATTTTAACAAAGAATTTTTCTGAATCCCTATGGGGAAAAAAATGAATGGAAAAAATACTTCCGGAACCAGGGCACTTATGCAGGATTTCATTCCCACCAGCACTACAAAGCAAATTGAACCTTTAGGAAAACTAAACACATCTGATGTATTAATCAATACACCCTGCTCCTGCTGTTGATCCGGACACAGCACAACGTCGGGCATGTAAAATAACAAAAAAACAACAACTGTGCCATCATTTGAGCACTCATATACTTGTGCTATACCCTGCAAATTAATCATCACAGGTCAAAGTGAAGGATGTAGTCAATGGTGACAGACACACGCAACATTAATCGCATGTCCTTTGAGTATCTACATAGAGCACCAGCAAACCACCATCACTCTATGCTAATGAGACACTGAATGTCACCTTGAGGTCCTCACAAACACACACTAACCAGACACAAGCAAAAGCCCATAACACGAGAGGTCAAAAACCAAATCTAATTGCCTAAATAAACACCAGCTCAACAGACATGAACTTCAACAGCAAAGGACTGGAGTGAAAGCATGATAGAGATAAAGAATAAGAGAGGAAGGGAGTGTTTAAGGGGGGAATGACTGCAAGATTTCTGTAATTTCGGTCTCTCTTCATCCCTTTGTAGACAACAATGTTTTGTTTGAGAGCTGGAGTGCAGGGCTGTGCTGGTAAACGGGCACACCGCCGTGTTTACCGTGGCTTTGTTAAGACAGTGATGGGATGATGCCACCTGCACATTTCAAGATAAGAAAATGTCAAAAATCTCCAAAGACACAATGACATGCACAGAAAAGCCGTCTCTTCCCATGCTCCTCGCTCTGTCTGTTCTCACTCTCACACACTCAATATTACTGATGAGTGATGACTATTACAGAACACAGCTGACATATCAAACTCTGACCTAATAACACAGCGCTGTCGAATCCTTTGAGAGACTGCCTGTTTGGAGATATTGCAGTTCACATCTGTTTACCTACTCTCACTTTTTCTGTCTTTTTCCTGTTCCCATTGACAGTTTTTCATTTGCTCTAGTGAGCAATGAAAAGCTGAAATCTGAAAAAAAAAAAGCATTTTAAAACCCCATCTGTCCTTCAGAAATAACAGAAGACGAGAACTCTGGCATTCTGAGGTCAGATATCGCAAATTATAAAGAGAACAAAATAATACCCTGGTAATTTCACTATCTTTTTCTCTCTCTGACATGCTTTTTTAGTTTCTTTCATTGTCCTTTGCTTATCCCTTCAGTTTCCCTCACATCTCAGTTTGTGATCTTTTTTTTCATCTGGAGAATGAACATGCTTTCTGAAGTTTCTAACATTTCACTACACAAAGACATTAAAGGCTATGTGAAGCCTGAATCTGGGAAGCATTGCCACATTGTAATACTGAAAAAAAAAAAAAACGGCAAATGATGATCCATAATTTAAAACCATATGGTCCTTCGTTTTAATGAAAGGGGGACTCCAATAAAAAAAAGGCTTTTTCTGAGTGGAATTAACAGTAATTGCTTTGCATTCTCTCTCACGCCAACACAACAAGAATCATATTGGAGGTAAATTAAATCTGGGATATTGCTGTTTCAGACATGCAATTCACACCGGAGCTCATTCTCGGATACACATATGTGTATGCAAATTGTATTTCACACCAAATGAGATTTAGATTTTCTTGGAATTATACAATTATATATATCCAAACATACATGTATCATCTTCACAAGCATACCACCACTCTCTGGCTCGCATTCACATGATGTTCCTCAAACATCCGTTAAAGTATCACTGTCAGACAGCCCTGAGTGCACAGTGTTATTCTCAGGCTCTGACCGTCTTTGATATCTGTGAGTTATGTAACGTCAAACTCATGTCCGTGAAACATTGTTTTTTCTTGACTAAATGCATCGGTGGGCAAATGGGGAAACAAATCAGCGGGTTATTCTATTTATAAAACCGACATTTAAAGCTAAAATATCAAACAAAAACAATTAACAGACATTGGGTTTGTGGCAGTTTAAAAATGATTATACATTTTAGAAAATGTTTTACATTTAAAGACCCAAAAGTATTTAAATCAAATGCCGAGTCAGTTTTTATTTGACAGATGGTGAAAATCACTACTCTTAATTTTTTTTTTTTTTTTTTTTTTTTTTGAACGAGACAGTCATTCATGCTCAGGCCATATGTACAGTGCACGTGAATGGTTGGTAACCCTGTGAATGAAGCGCTAGGTTTATTCTTGAATTTATCAGCGTGGCAAGACAGCTGCTCACAGTAATGACCCTCCTCTTATACTGCAAATGAGTCATACGAGTATTATCCTAATAACTCCTTGCCATGAGCCAGTGAATGATTCTCATCCACTTCTAGGCGCCATTCACAAGGGACGCGTTTTTTTCTTTTCTTTTTTCTTGCATTGTATTTTAACTTTGATAAAGCGTTACGTTACCTTTGCAAGAACCCATCCTGTGTTAACATCTTTCAGTTAATTAATGTGGACTAAACGCGCGCACTCACCCGCGTTTCTCAGTTTTCTATTTCTGAGCACCGAGATGATCACCAGCACGTTACCGAGCACATCCACCACGCTCGTGAAGATCAGCACACCGGCCAGCACCATGACGACCCATGCTGGCCGCGCGCCCGCTCCGCTACCCCAAGCGCGACCCTGCCCGTCTTCCGTCCGGTTCCTGACGAGCGAGACATTCTCGGGCATGTCGAATAAACTTCACCCTCTCTCACCAAAAACACGCTCGGTATCTTTCTCACGAAGCTTCAGTCATCTTCACCTTCGTCAACAATTAGGCTACACATTACCATATTCTCAGCAATCCTTGGGAAGCTCGCGGTGACGGGTGCTGTTTTCTCACTAATCTGCCACATGAAACAAATTTTCCACCCGTCTATTGTCTTGACTGGCGATTATCTTCAACTTCACGGTGCTCTCTCTCTCTCCCCCTCGCCGCGCGCCTTTTAAAACTCACTCGCGGCGAGAGCGCGGCGACGCACGAGATGGTCTCGAGCTTCTCGCTCCAGTCGCGTGCGCTCCGGTGTTTGCCATTGATAACTGAGGGATCACGCTGGCGTGGGTTCACTCCTTTCCCTCCTCTTCTCCTTCAGCGTATTTGCATTGAATCGAGCTGAGACGCCTCCAAAAAGCTGTCAAACGTGGGACTCTTCAGCTCGTCTGTAAGTCCAGTCAGTCAGACTTTATTTATTTATTAATTCACTCGGTGACGACGGAATCCGATGCGCGAGGCTCCCGTTTCGGATGAATTCCCGCCTCAGGAGTGTGAAACCATTAAGTGCAGTATGGTTTTGACACCAGTGTGTGTCGTTAAAAAAAAAATCTTCATCTAACTCTGGTCTTCGCGTTTGAGGAGCAAGAGAGCCGTTAAATTAAAGAATCCAACTTAGAAAATTAACCTTTCTGAACAGTAATTCCATGTTTTCCCGCCTCAAAGGGACTCCCTCGGCGACTCAATCAGCACCCCTCGGGTGCACGCGAGCAGATCGGAGTTTCCGGTCCAGTTCTCGAATAAGTCCAGTTAAACGGCAGCTGGAGAGACGTCGCCTTCGACCCGCTCAGCGCGGCCGGTCTCTTTCGGTCTCCTCATTGAGAAACAAAATCCGTGAGCGCGCTCCACCGCTGTTTACAGCCGCCCCGTTCACACATCACGCGCTGGGAGCCTCCGCGTGTGCCTCAACTTGTACTGAGAGCGCGCAGGTGCACGTGAGGGCGTCCTGTCACAAATAAAGGGGACGAATTAACAGCTCGCTCAGCGTTTTCTCTACCGAACGATACTTTAAAGTCACCAACGATTACCAAACACCAATAATTTATTTAAATAAAATATTTTAATCAATCTCGTATAAAATGAATACATAATAATACCCTTTAATATAAAAAAAAATTAAAGAACTGTAACGGACTGTGAAGTCAAGATCCAAAAAAGGGGAAAACAAATCATCAACGAGAACCATATTTATGACCCTTATTATCACCAATAATTGGTTCTAGGTCCACCATGCTCAAATAGTACACATCACAGAATAGGAGAACAATAAAAGAGTGTAGGCTACTGTAGTCTAATAATTATTATTAGGGAAATACACGTGAAGAATTGTTGTTCCAATATTATACTCAAACATCAGTGCATGCTGGGAGCTAAAGCCCCCCCCCCCCCCCCACCCCCCCTTATCCATGACATGATCAGTCACAGCTTGTTTAGTGATGCCATTTAGGGGAGGGTTTATATAAAATAAATGATACCTTGTATTATAAATGATAAACTATCAATTCTATAAATAAAAACTCGCTGAAAATGTAACAGACAATATTTCACATACATAATTGAAACAAAGCAGAATGTACACATAATAGTATTCTGTTTAGGGTGTTTACTTCAAGTGCCTCTAACAAAACTGAATATATCTAAATATGTGATGGCACCAACAACCTGGCCATGGATTATTTCTTCCTCAAAAATGCTGGTAAACATGACTTTGTTTTCATGCAAACTACAGATGAAAAATAATGTGCTCTTACTTGCAGAAGTCAGCCAATCACATTAGAGATTATCAGGTCGAGAAACTAGGCTACTATCCAGTTTTATTTGCAATATGCATCAGACGGTCAGTAACCAGACTGTGGGCGGTCCGTGGGCATGAAGCCTGAAACTGAGACCCGCTCAACATTGTTTAAGACTGAGACTCCAACTACTTTTTAAACAACATTGGAAATAATTGTTTCATGGAACAACCTAATGAAAAGCTTACTGGCAAATCTGCGGCACCCATCTCACCACTCACTGCTCCAAACCTTCTGGCTCACCCCGAGTCTCCACTTGCTAAGGTTAGCTAAAATACCATTTTCAAAAACTACACTGTTTGTTAAAACTTACGGTATGGTTTATTTATTTGAAAAGGAGATGCATCCCAGTGTTCAAATGAAACCAATGCCTCTGGTTTGATTAACTTGACCTTATGGCATCTGGCTGTTAAAGAGACATTTATTTTTTCATTTAGCTTATCCTATTTCTATGGTGCAGATGGATAGCAGCAGAATGAAAGAGGGCGGAGAAGTATTGCACAGGGAGCCACTCAGAAGAAAAGTTACCCACTAGGTCACAATTCATTTAAGGGCACAACCGTTGCAGAGACTAGTATGTCCCACAGCTGTGACGGGGCGGGTTCCCGTGACACACCAGAGAGCACTGACACTGACTGATTTGGCTGTCTCTCCTATGCCACAGCAACACACACACACAACACACAGAGAGAGAGAGAGAGAGAGAGAGAGAGAGAGAGAGAGAGAGAGAGAGAGAGAGAGAGAGAGAGAGAGAGAGAGAGAGAGAGAGAGAGAGAGAGAGAGAGAGAGAGGGGGTTTCAGCATATCATTAACTATTACTCAATTAAACTATATCATGGATATGAAAATAAATTTGCCCCTGTGAGGTTTGCCCCTGAAACGTACAGACATACAGATAGATAGATAGATAGATACTATATAGATAGATAGATAGATAGATAGATAGATAGATAGATAGATAGATAGATAGATAGATAGATAGATAGATAAACAGACAGAAAGAAAGACAGACAGATAGACAGTTCAGTCCATTTTCATGCAGACAGTAGCCTTGTAATTTATCACAGTCATACAAATATGTATAATTCCAAAAATACTCTTTGTCTGCACTTGGGTTGTATTAGGGAGGAGAGGGGAGGGGAGAGGAGGGGAAGGGAGGGGAGGGGGAACTTACAGAAAGGTACACATTGCACATCTATTTTTTCCTGTTTACAAATACAGATACCACGGCACCGAAATGTAGAGTTGTTTGTTGGCGTGCGTGCGCCTTTATCTCCGCGAGCCAGCGATATCCAGCGCGCGCGCTAAATCAGCCCCGTTTTTTTTTAATGCAACATATCCACACGGTTCAACAACAACAACAGATAACAGCCCAGCCTACTCAAATCAGTCCAATTCGAGGTGTTTGAATGATTATTTTTGTACACCCACAACACCACCGCTGGGAAGGAGGCGTTTACCGTGTGGAAACCTGGCTGGCGGCTGCTCCCCGGTCGGGTGTGTGCGTGGGTGCACGGGCTGATTGTGTGAGCGCGCGGCTCGTTATAGGAGAATCGGGTTATGTAAGCGGGTGTCTGGTTTCTCCGGGATAGAGAGAGAGGCCTCGCCTTTCTTTGATGTAAAACTGTAGGAAACCCTCTCGAGACTGGCGGTGCTTGTCACTGTCTGTGTTTTGGTTTAATTTGTATGGCGTGTGAAATAATTGTGTGTCTGTGCAAAAGTCAATGTGCGTGTGGGTGAGTTTAAGGGTTTGTGAGGTTGGAGACTGGTTGATGAGGAATGATTGGTTTAACTTTGTCTACCTTTCCTCGTATTAGAAGAACAAACTGTACAGTGACCTCAAAAGACACACAAATGTAAAGTGTATTATCGCCACGGCCGCATTAACAATAGGGCTAGGCGGGGCTAAAGCCCCGGGGCCCGAGCAAGGAGGGGGCCCGTGATTGGCTGTGGTGGAGCAGATACCACTAGCCATCTCATTGCCAAAGCCTTACCACGCCCACCACAAATTAGCCCTGTTATTTAGTGGCATTATCATGGAATCATTATCATTAATATTATAGTAACCATTCGCAAAGACCCGCCTTTTTTAGTTACTGTGTGACAAGCCAGGCGGCTCTCATGAGTCACGCACATCATGTTCTCACTCAAGCAGTGAAAAACACATCGCGGGGCAAAGACAAACGTTACACTGAGTGACTACGCGCCGACATACAAGAGAGAGATCAAAGCAGCTTACTGATGATATGAAACAAAGTCTCAACTTTCAAATATTGTCATTTAAGTAATTTAAACAATACCGTTTTTCAAGTTCAAGTCCACCGACGTCAATCTACTGACAGCTTTGTTGTCGACAAAATTGCGTATTCGGCGTTATGATTGGTCAGGTCGCCTGTCAATCAAACCCTCGTGGGCAGCAGGGCATGGTGAATTGAAACGTTGAAACGTCACGTTTTAATTTGATATACCAATCAAATACATTTATTCTATATTTAACTTGTGAACGACCGACCTGCTGCTGCACGTAGGCCTATCAGATGATGGCTGCCTGCGCCTTATTAGAATATATCAACCAATCAATCGCCTCCACTCTTCACTTCATTCTAGACTATTCTTAAAAATTGACACGCATTATCTTCGTCGCATAGCTAAAAATGTCATCATCTTTAAAAAAAACTTGTGCGAGTGGGGCTCAAAAAAGAAATGTTTTAAAAGCTAAACAGCAGAGGAAACATGAGCTGCTCAGTAAAATCCCCAAGCTATCGGGTTATTTTACTAAAGCTGATGATCACGGAGAAGTTGTGGAACAGCAAGTGGGCCAGGAACATGTTGGAGCAGATAAAGACACAGCGTCATCATTGACCCCACCAATTTTCGGTAAGTTTGATTATTAACTTGATGGATTTAACGTATGATATTGCTTTTTGTGTTTGATCAAACTCTATATTTGCCGGCGATAAGGGCTGGCGATAATATATGGGTAGAAATATGTCGATTTTGCTGCGCCATCATGATGTAAGTTTATAATTTAAACGCGTTTTTGAGCATTGTGGTTTAGATACAAATTATTTTAAACTGCTCAGGCACAGTAAGCAGCGGGAGAGAATTCATTTTGTAAATGCTCGTTTTGAGACCATGGTGAACTTGAGACGGTTTTGCACAGCCGCAGCGCACTTGAGTTCCGACCCCGAGGTCTTAAAGTGACAGAAGCTGCTAATAAAGCTGCTGTCGCCATTTGTGTCAATAATGTTAATCAAACATCAGAAAGAAAGTAATTTACTGCCCTTGACTGAATCACTTTTGTAAAATAAATAAGAATCAATGTTGAATTAATAGTGAATACTATGTATTGCATATTTGATTACTTTATACAATATAATATTATTCAGTGCTTTAAGTTTTTCAAGTAGGTCGATTTCTTATGTGCCTTTGTTCTATTGTTATGTGTGACTCTTGTCATCAGTAAGCTTGAGATTCTTTTCTTAAGTTACTATTATTTTTTGTAATATTGAAATTGGTCACAAGAATTATGAAATTTTAGTGGCATTAAATTTTGATATGATAAAAATCGTATTAAAAGTAATATAACTTGACTGTGAAGTATATCATAGATAGATAAAATGACTCGTTTAAAGATATAAAATTTAGCTCATCGCCCACCCCTATACGCTATTAGCAACCCATGTTGACAGGTTAGTGTTAATCTAACAGCTTATGTGTAAAAATGTGTTTCATGCTTATCCTGA